GTTTCGAACAATCAATTCCCAAATGAGTTTCAAATAATGTTTGCATCAGTTTGTTTTACTTTTTTTCAGATTTTAGTTTTTGTACATTCACAGAATATGCAGAAAATTATGTAAAGGTATTCAAAGAGCAACCTTTTTTTCCCAGTAGCCTTTTCCGAGTCCTTCAGTGGGCTGTATTAACTTGAGATGAGCTATTGGCTAGCAATCATTGGAATTAAGCGCCCATCGTGCGTGTCCTCTGATTGGTTCACAGACGCAGGACGTCATGTCAGTGCTACCAAAATCATGAAAAGGCCTCTGAACAGGACATTTTTGGCCTATTTCCTCCCAGTAAAAAGCCCAGTTCTTAAGTATAAATACGTTTTAATGGCGAATCGCCACTGGAAGTGTAAATTAATTCTGGACAAGTCTAAAAACAAGCCCTATGGGTTATTTCCTGCATGTTACAGGCCTGGATAGACACGGCTGTTGTTAAATGCATATTACTTGCACCCCCATCAATGCAAATGCAAACTGTAAAATATTTCTGTACGTACTTTCAGTCACAATGATGGAACCTATTAGCATGCTTTTGAGACATGTGCTTTAGGAATAGGACTGGAACGTTTCACTCTGGTGGAATGAAAAGCGGAGTGTAGGAAAACGCAAATGGTGCTGAAAAAGGTTTTTGTTATGTTAATTTTTTATTACTCACCAAGTGAATACAAGTTGTAAAATATGGTGAAGAAGCAAGTGTTTCATTTTTTTTTTTTTCCTTTTCTTTTGTATTTTTAAATTGGCATCTGTTTTTTCTAACTGTAGTTTGACATAGTTAGCCTGCATCGATTTTGTTCCATAAGTTCATGTTGATGGTGAAACTATTACAGTCTTTTTTAAATGTTGATAGTGTAGTCATGTCCTTTGTGCAAATCCAGACATAGAGATTCAAAACACTGCAAAATGAGGGGGAACAACGAAAACGGTAACACATTTCTGGACAGTGAAACATGATGCACAATCTTACTGGTTGTGTTTTTCTTTTTCAATAAATTTACTACTCATAAAAGAGAAACATCTCTGTCACTGTTATGTAAAAATAACATGAAGTACGATGATAAATACTAGTTTTGCGAATCTGGAACTAACAATCTCTGCTGTTCATCCCATAATGCCTTCTGAGGAAGCAGATAATTCACGTTTTTGTCTTTGGAGTTACACTTTTAACCCATGTGGCCACAAATGAGACCCAAGGAGTTTTGCGATGCAAAACAGGAAGCCTTTTGATCATTTATCAAGAGGTGTTTTTTTTTTTTCACTTTTATAAACTCTTTGATTATTCTCTTCCTGATTACTTGAGATTTTGGTTGTAATTGATCCAATGAAATGTGAGCTGATGATTGAGGCCCTCTGACTTTGCCGATAAAGGCTTTTAACTAATGAGACGGGAAACCTGCTTTTCCGCATTCCACAGTTGCAAACTTTAAGACCTGTACACTATTACAGCGGTCAGTACAGTTATGAGGATCACGCTTTGTGGATACACAGTTACGGCTGAGAAGCTGGATCGTGTAAATTCATAGAGCTGCACAAGGTTAACAAATAGGCAGGGCCATGAAGGGGTCAACACGGCATAACTCTGACTGGAAGGAGAGAAAATCCGCTGTTATCTATGGTAGGATGTTCACTGGGTTTGTCTTTCGAGGTTGCCGTGTCATTAACTGGGTTGTGGATTGTTATTCATCTGTATCGCAGTGAACTCTTCACTTATTTTAATGATAGATAATGCTTTAGTGACATTTAGTGGCATTTAGGTTTAGTGACATTAAATGATGAGCTGAAACTGAATGTCTTTTTGTGGGTGAATCTCACAAAAACATGTCCAGGTTATGTTACTATAAAAGCTTGTTTCTGCCACGAGTTTAAAAAAAAATGAATAAGGTAATTGCAGTCATTTTATCTCACAATTCTGACTTTTTTTTTCTTCTCACAATTCAGTGTTTGCATCCCACAATTCCGAGTTTACACCTTACAATTTCACATTTATATCTTACAATTATGGCTTTTTTCTCTTAATTCCTAGTTTACATCTTTTTTTTCCTGCCAAAGGATAAAAAAAAAAAGGTATTGAGACTTTTTATCTCACAATTTTGCATTTATATCTCACAATTCTGAGCTTATATCAAGCAATTCTGGGGGAAAAAAGTTTGAATTGTAAGATATACATTTGTAAATTATGAGGAAAAAGTCGCAATTGTACTAGTTTTTGTCCTGTGGCGAAACAGGCTTCCATAAATTTCAAAAACCAAAACTGATTTTTTTGCATTGTGATATTTACTTTGATGACAATAAGGAATATGTTTTTTTTAATCATTACCTTTTTTCATTCCAATTATTCTCAGTGTTATTAATAATAATAATAATAATTTCTTTTTTATTGCTAAAGAATTACTGTAATACAATAAAATTTGTATTTAAATTAATACAAGTACAAACTACAGTAATATATAATATATAATTTTTATTTATTTATTATTTTCATTATTGTAATAAGATTTTTTTTTTTGGCTTAGTAGTAACAAGAATTGTAGGGCAATTATTTTGCAGTAGTTTTATTTTTATTGTTTAATTGTAATTATGAAAACTGTCATAATGCAAAAATACTTATACAGTAAGGCCCTAAATATTAATTTTGTAAGAATTATTACTTTATTATATAGCGTAAAAATTACAGGAAGTCCTTTATAATTGGCCCTATACCAAGCATGCATTTGTCTCACTTCTTTCATTTCCCTGTAATGTGTGTGATTTCTTTGAGTCAGTCTGTTTATCGTCTCTCCTCTTATTTAAAAAAATAAAGCCGCCCGATTGGCCACACTTGGAACATGGCGGATGTTGACTCTGGGCACAGAGTTCAGTTCCTGGGCTCAGTCTTCTGAGCCACCTGACAATCAGAGGAACAGAAGAGCAGCTTTAACAGAACTATCCAGCAAGGACAGTCTGTATGAGGAGAGCCAAACTGCCAGAGATGACCAGAACACTGCAGAATGTAGCAAATATGACACTGTGGTAGAGCTGGAGAGGCCCAGTAACCCGAAGAACACGGATATCATCAACGCCCATGAAACGTGTCAAGAGCAGGTAGCAGCATGGGAGGAGAGGTGAGCAGCAGGGGATGAAAGTCATTTGTAATGTAACCCACAATGAAGGTTATTAGCTTCTTTATCATGGTCTGCTGTAAATTTAAAGCTTAACACTGTTAAAGGTCAATACTGAGAACTTAACACAATCACAATTGATCATTTTAATTCATTCTATTGGCCACTAGGGGGCCTAAAGGCTCAACTGTACAGTGGCCTCAAAAGGTATTTGGACGCTTAAACATATCTGGAATATATGAACTGAATTGTGCAAGGTAAAATATCAAACCTCATGAAATAAAGAAAAAAATATTATTTAGTGCATTATATATTCTAATATGCTGAATTGATGCTCAATAATTATTGCTTATTCTTGTTTAATTATTAATAACAGTGATTATTATCAGTGTTCAAAAAAAGTTTTTGCTACTCAATATTTTTGTGGGAACTGTGATCTTTTTTTTTTTCAATGAATATTAATCATCAACAGGAAAATATTCTTGAAAAAAAAATACAGAGATCCAAGAACTGTCCTGATTGAAAACTTATTTCCCTTGGATCTTCCAACTGTGTGTGTGTCTTGAATCCTTTCCACTGCAATGCCCTAGGGTGTTGTAGGATGGAGCTCTGGTATGCCACACATCCAGAGATTAGCTCAACCGCCTGGAGTCTCTCATGAGATTTTGTGCCTCTGGGTCTGGACTGCATGCACACACTGATTGAAAACTTATTTCCCTTGGATCTTCCAACTGTGTGTGTGTGTGTGTGTCTTGAATCCTTTCCACTGCAATGCCCTAGGGTGTTGTAGGATGGAGCTCTGGTATGCCACACATCCAGAGATTAGCTCAACCGCCTGGAGTCTCTCATGAGATTTTGTGCCTCTGGGTCTGGACTGGCTGCATGCACACACACAGAAAATTCTTCACACTTACTGACCCTAATGCCTTGAGCTTCACATCTGGACGTGCTGAATACTTTTCTTTCAACAACCTTTCCTTTGGAGAGGTGGAGATGCCCTGGGTGGGGTCATGTTTTGCCTATATGGAGACCAGCTAATGTAATGTTTTAATTAATTGTAATTCTAACTGTAATGTTTTAAGATTTAAATATAAATGTAAAAAGGTTCTGTGAGTGTTAAGGTAGAAAATATAATTGGCTAAATATAAAAACAACACAAAAATATGTATTGTATATAATATGTTGTAATGTAGTAATATATAATGACGTGGTACAACATGATTTGAAACTGATCCAAGGAGCGTATTTCAATCTGTGCCCGTATTTTAGTGATTAATAACACATTTGCTTCTTTGATAGTGACCTATAGTGCAGTCTTGCATATTTCTTAATATTTTCCCCCCATAACCTTCAAACCCAGAAACTTTCCATTTATTTCCATGTTTAAAATTAGATTTGTATGTTCAATCATCAAATTTGTGCAAATGTATTATGAAAATGTGTATATGTGGCCGAGAATAGTATGCATTAAAATAACTAAACAAAGGCGCACAATGCAGCTTGATAATTTACTGACTGACAACAACAGGCAATCAACAAATCGCTTTTGCTTTTGTGTAATGGTGCCACTGATTTTGGCCATTAATGTTCTATTCTATTATAAACAATTCAAAAATATTTTAAGATTCAAATTTAGTAATTTAACAATGAAGAGCTTTTGCTTGGCGCTTTTACTTCCTTTTCAAATGGACACTAAGCAAACAATAAGACCGTTATAAATATCATTCATTGATGATCAATTAAGACACCCTCCCCCTCACGCGCTCTTCAGCAGGTGGTCCTGCCTCTAGGGCCGTTTGTGTCACGTGTGAGAGCCTCGCGCAGCGTCCATTCATTTGGCACCATTCGTACCGTGCGCTTCTCCAAGTGCAGTTGTTGTGTGGAAGCGCAAAAGAAATCATTGCTGAAGAGAAAAAAACTTTGTACGTGCATATGGAATACCTTTATTCGCGCTTTTGATTCCACCAGCTCGTTTTTTCCGTCTAGCGTGACGCGTAAGTGATGGTGCACATTTTGGTTTCGTGACCTGTCAGCTGGATCAGATTGTGTTGGATGGATGTGGCACGAATTGGAAGGTTACACATTTTCCATTGTTTGAAATGCACTCAAAGGGAATGACATTTCTATGACAAGTTTCTCTTTTGTGCAATTTTCTGAGCAATGGAGTGAGGCGAGGGCGCACGGGGAGCTGGTTAAAAGGGACTTGTATATTTGTATTTCACTTCACATAGACTGATGGAGACTCTAAGTGGTAACAGATGTCTGTACTGTATTGTGCACTCTTCATCTTCTATTTAATGCCAGTTTGGATTTTACCTGTTGGATATCTACATGTCTAGGATGGCTCGCTTTGGAGACGATCTGCCCACCCGCTATGGAGGTCCAGCGGGCGCTGGGAGAGGGGGTGCCCGGGCAGGAGGTCCCTCGGGCGGTCAAAGAATGTACAAACAGTCGATGGCTCAGAGAGCCAGGACAATGGCTTTATATAATCCTAAACAAACCAAACAGAACTGCTTCACTGTCAACCGCTCTTTGTTCATCTTCAGTGAGGACAATGCCATCAGGAAATACGCCAAAAGAATAACCGAATGGCCATATCCTTAATGTTCAAGAAAATGGATATAGCTTCATGGCATCTCCACTTCTACATTTGATCTCACTCTTTTTAGAAAGCATGTAAATACACGCTTTTAGATCTGGCAATGTCAAAGGAACTGTTGCGTGCTGAAATGGTGATTGACACCGAAATGTCTTTTTGTTTTCACGTGTTCACGCACTTTAAAGCATTGGACAGCTGGTGGTCGTGTCAGGGTGTTGGCAGGCTAGTCTTTTTATTTTCTAATTCAAACGTAGGAAAGTCAAGCGCTTGATAACCCTGGGCTAACGTTTTTTTTAACCCGGGTTACAGACTAGTTTTAACCATCGGGTATGTAACGTTTAAAACGGGATTTGGCACCACCAAATACATAGTGTGAAATAAGCGGCGTAAGAACGTTACAGCTAATTGATTGGCAACAGACAACCAATCAAAAAACTGGAATAGCGCTTCCTCGTTGGATATTCATATGCTCCGTTTGGTCACAGAAACTTTTACGCGCTGTTTAGTTTCAGTGTCTAAGCGGTTAAGACGTCGAACAGTGAAGATTCAAAACCGTTTCTGCTGTGTTTCAGAGCGGTTGCATCTTTATACAAACTGGCACGCAGTTGCAGGTCGCGTCTTGTATTTCTTTCAGTGATATTGGCCTTATAAATATGCAAATAATAACGGTTGCAGGGTTTAACGTACAGTGTGAAATGTATAACTCAGGGTAAAGTATGAACAGGGTGAAACATTGAACAAAATAGCTCAGGGTCACATTTACCAAGTGAGAAAAACAGTCTCAAGACTGGTGTAAAACATTGTAGATTTAGTTGTTAACGAAGGGAAGCTAATGTGTGGCTAATGGAGAAATCGCAATTTACACACGGCATTTTCGAAATGCTTTGGCGGCAGCAGTAATGGCAATGTTAAATAGTTGCCTACTACTACTACTATTACTGATACTAATAATTCCATAAAATTATATAGTTCATTAGCATAACTGTAAGTTGTTAACAAGGTTGCTAGTAGTTCATACAGAATAAATATGGGTAGCCAATGTATATCGTTGTTTTACATTGGTTCATTCAGTCAAAGTTTAAAATCATTTACATTTTATAGTTTAATTCGAAATGGTTCTTCAAGAAGAAATGTATGAACCCAGAGAGGTTTTAATTAATAATTTATTTTATTTAATTTCATTTTATTTATTTATTTGTTTATTTTTTTGCATCTTGGTTGTAGAAAGCTGTAGCGCTCTCCAGGGTCCTGAAATCTCACCACTGATGTTCCAGGTACTCCAACATTTACTAGAATTTTACAGCACTGTGCAATCAGATATCCTGCCTTTATTTCTGATAAATACATCCAGTTTGTCGTACAGTCCATTTAAAATGCATCTTTATGGAATTCAGGCATTCATAGCATTAGGTTTCTATAGCATGTAGAGATCCCTCAAGGGGGTGACAAGAATGTAATTGAAGTGGCCATTGGACATTTCCTTTCTAATTCTTTGCCTCCATGAATAGCGATTCCATAAAGACCTATAGCCGAAGGGAATGGGCATTGGATTATAAATTGGAAAAATGGATCCTGTCCAAAGAATGGAATATAATGGCTGACCACCCATAAATATGTTAACAGCCTTTTAGTGTTTCTTTTAAAAAGGATGAAAAAGATTTTAATAATGACAAGATTGGTGGGCTTACACAAACGTTTCACAGACGCAATAAGGTTGCACAAATGGCTGTGCTGAGAGAGAAACCATCATGCCATCCTAATGGGTAATCATGATCTCTGTTCCAAAGCATGTCTCACTTTTATGCCCAGACTTCTGCATGTCATTTCCAGCATGGAGGGAGGTGGTGTAATTCATTCAGCATTACTGCTAGTGGGTTTGAACATGGTTGTCTAGGAATGCCAAGGACACAAAGTTGGAAGTCAGTTGCTTGATTAAGCTTGGAGGTATGTGAGTTGGACTCTGTTGGGGTTGTTCTGTCCTCATCTCCTAATGATTTAATGATTGAGTGTTTACATGACACAATCCCTTTGTCCTTGGTGGGCAGTGTGGGGGAAATTCGCAAGTAGTTATTCCTGAGGAATGCTTTTAGAGTGATAGTTCACCCTTATGTCATTCTAAATCTGTAAAATTTAAGGTTGGAATACACAACTTCAGTACAGATTTTTGCCCTGATTTGAAGTCTGGATGGGTCGACACTAGTTGCCGAAAGACAGAGCTGGTTTGTAGATTTTGGACAGTCAGAGTTGACAGATTTTTAAAATCCATGATTTTATAGCTTCAGAATTTGATTTCATCCTGTCGGAGGATTGATATTTTGAGCAGATTTTAGAAGAAATAAGCTGTGTCCGAAATTGCATACTGTCTAGTATGGTACTATATTTGATTTGAAACTTACTTTGTGTCTGTTAAAAAAGTATGTTCTATAATATGGGTAGTATTACTGTCACGTGACCTACCAGCACCATGTTGCGTCACTTCACAAATCCTCTCCCATGGCCTCAAGTGTCCATTGAATTCAAGTGTCCATTGAATGCGTACTACATAATCTCGGCAGAAGTAGTAGAACATCTGGGTACTTTTTGCCAAATATGAATACTGTGAGTTTGGACATGCTACTCTTTTCGTGTACTGTTTTTCACCTTCTATATAATATGGGAGTAGGCATATTTGGACACAGTGATTATTTTTTGAATTGTTGCTCATCTCCTAACACTGTTTGTGAATGAGTTTGTTGTGTTCGGAACAATTTGAAAGTCTGGTAGTGTGCGATCCTCAGTCATTTAGTTTATGATGCCCAGTCTTTCTCTGTAACCGTTTACAAAGTTGGCAAATATATGATGCATAGTTTTAAAAAATCTGTTCAGATTTGAAAAGTCATGTATGGTATTCCTCCCTTTAATTTCTTCTGTGGAACACAAAACAAGATATTTGGAAAGTCAATGAACAACATGCAACCCCATAGAGGGCTGCAGCCGTGATGTCAAAACCAGAAATACAAATTCGCCGTGGGTTGTTTCGAAATTTTCAGTTTTGTTTTTATAATGGGGTTTTTCAGTTTATGAGCAAAACAAGGTCTGATATATAAATTGACGATACTTTGACGTTTTTACTCACAAATTGAAAAACCGCATTACAAAACCTATAGGAAACCCATGGGGAATTATTCTGGGTTTTGACGTCACACCTGCAGCATGCTATCATTGCATGGAATAAAAAAAAAAGAGACATTTAAAAAAAAAATGTCAGGTTTGGAATGACGTTAGGGTGAATAATGATCTTTTTTTTGGTTCTCTATCCCTTTAAGCCAGTATTTTAAAGCACATGTATCAGCACATTTCCTGTTGAATTTACATCGCGCTATAGATACAGTATCTCGTTCACTTTTATTTTGCACAGTCTTCCTCTTTAGAATGTTTTTGAATTTGTTATGTTTGTTGTTTGTTGTTATTCTGGTATTTTTCCTTGACTCATCCACTCCATTTGAGTACCTGATCCTCACTACCATCATCGCCAACTGCATCGTACTGGCCCTCGAACAGCATCTCCCCGCCATGGACAAGACCCCCATGTCTGAACGCCTGGTGAGCATCAGAATTCTCTGTTTTTTTTTGTCATTCACTCTTGATTATTAAGGTTTCACATGTCTGTCACATATCAGATTATTAATTTTTTTTACTGAATAAGACTGCAACCATATCTTTTAAGAGAGAGAAACAGCAATGACAATGCATTCTGCAAAAAGCAGAGCAAGTAAGAGATAACTGTGTATTTGGCTTGCTTTTCTTTCCGCCCACACACCCGACATCTCCTCTGGAGTATATTGATTGATCATTTTAGCGGTCTTGCACTGGTTGGCGTGGGTGATCGGTAAGCCTGTTGGAGCGGAGGCTGTTATCCCACTCTCAGAGCTCCCATCCAGGGCCGCTGAGAACCACCCAAGCACTCCACACAGGAGCCATGTCTCTGTCTCATTAAAACTCTGCCTGCTGGGAACCATTGACGAATGTGTGCATAACGCATGATCCAACCTTAACCCATGCAGAGCAAGCTTTGATTCACTGCCTTGCTCTATTTCCCCTGCTCACAACGGCAGTTGTGCTTGTTGAGTCAAAATGATATAAGGAAGCGGCTTCAAAGTGTGTTGCACAATTAGAGCAGGAACTGGACATGATGGCGGATTAAGGCGATAACAGTCTGTGAAGCTGAATATGGAGGCGGTGATGTTAGATTCCACACTCCCTGGAGGAGTGCTGCAATCACAGAAAGGAAAACAACATGAGCCTATAAGGTTAATGGGGTCCTCTTGAAAATACAACTTCCTGATGCTAAAAATGCAACTTCTTATACTTATTGTGTTGCTTTATGGGGTTTATGGGTTTTGGTTGCATTTGGTCGAAACCAACACAAAAGTCAACACAAAAAGTATGTTTATGCTGCTCTTTTTCATGATGAACAAATTTTTTTTTTCCTGAAAATGTCCCCCTTCCCCTTATAAATAAATAAAATGAAGAAAAAAAAGGTTGTGCTGCTTAAAGTGCCCCAATTATGCTATTTGAAAGGTTCATAATTTGGTTTTGAGAGTCCCCAACAACAAGTTTACATGCATGCAAGGTCAAAAAGCACTTTAATTTTCTTATAATATGCATTTAAATTTATCTTATTTCTCAACGACTCTCAAACGATTAGAAGATTCATCTTTCCAAACCCCCCCCCCCTTGCGTGAGGCTACTCTACACAACACAACATATTTTGCATGCTCTACGGAACATTACAGCAACAATTATTAATCATACTTACAGGTAGTGATTCGGAGGAGCAAGCTGGTCCAAACAAACTGGACACTGACCCATGTTTCAAGGACAACCATTTTACGAATCCTGCGTTGAACTCGCAGAGATTGGGGAAGCAGTTGTCAGTGAAATGATGGAAACACATTAAAAGTTTGGCAGTCCTTAACTGAAGAGTTATTGCAGTTTTCATTGTTCCCTGTAGCAAGGGTTCAACATCAACCTGTCAAATTTATCAACCGCTTGTTTGGTTAACACTGCGCCACAACCAATTCCCTACCTGTTGCAGAGCCAAACTGGCCCCCCTGATACCCAAACACTACAGGCAGGATGTTCATTATTAATAAACTCTTTGGATCTATACATAATAGATTGAAATATACTGTGTGCCGCCGCACTCCCTCATTTCTCCGCTCCCATAAATCATCCGTTACGCACAGCCTCACATCTGCTCCCGCAAGCACATTTTTGCCAAGTGATTTCATAGAGACAACACGACAGGTGCTGTCTAGCACCACAGCGATAATTGGACTATTATTGAGAAAATATACACCAATAGAGTGTGATTTCACTTTGGGCACCTTAAGAGAGTGTTCAACACATTTCGTTTTTGTTTGTTTAATTATATTTGTGTTTGATAATGAAATATTATGTATATGTGTTTTTTTTACAGGCAGTAGAGAGATTTAACACTGCAGCGTTTTCCTTGCTGTACCAAGTTATAATCATAAAACGGCATCATGCTGTTGTTATTGAAGACTGTCATAAAGAATGATATTGCTAGGGCAAGGTTTCCATCAAAAAGAGGGCCATAAGAAGACTTATTTGCAAGTGGGGTTGATAATTGCACTCATAAAGTGGGAGGGTTTTCTGAGAACAGAGCACTGGAGATGTTAGTCTGGTGTAAGTGCCTGTAGAGCCGTAGGGCTCTGGTGACATTAATGGGAATGAGTTCAAAAGCAATGTGACATGCTGTAGCCGGGACTGAATCTCTTTAAGTACCGTATTGGCCCGAATATAAGACGACCCTGATTATGAGACCAACTTTTATGATGGCTGTTGTTGTTGTTTATTATTCAATAAATACTATTTTATATTCATAGTAGTATTTACTATTGGGAAACTGTGTGTTTGTGTGTGTGTGTGTGTTCATGATGGTGATTTTTGTGACATTGTTCCGCCATTAGATGACGACAAGAGACTGTTTTACGAGTCAACAGTAGACTTATATATTGAAAGAGACTGAAACGGAAGTTATTTTTACTTTTAATAACAGCTTGTAAGATGCATTTAACAAATGCACTGATCAGCGCTGTCATTGGAAGTCACCCTTAAATATGAAAGGATAGTAGGACAAAGATATCGCTTTCCTCAGCGGACATTCAAACTAATGTTTTATTGTGAATATGAGATTGAGCTGAAGAATGAATGCTGTATCAGAAGCAGGTAATCACACTCGCTTGGTCAATCTCTCTCTCATAATACTCTACATATAATACAGAGAGCTTTTAATACAGTGTATATACAATATATATATATAATTTTAAATTTTTATTATTTTTACATGTCTCTCAGTATATGTAAAGTACTGCACTTGTAGTAGTATGTTCCATAAAAACATTTTCAATCACAATGGAGCACGATTTTACATCATGTCACATCTCTTCCCTCCCCATTGCATCGCAAACCCATGCATCTTGACCTATTCTTTGAGTGTTGTGCAAAAAGCTTCAACCTATATTCTCTATTCTGATTTCTATATTTCTTGCATGCATCAATAGGTACTCTCTTCTTTCAATTGGGCAAAAAACAAGTTATACTTCTTTTTGCTCTCTCCTCCTGCAGGACGACACAGAGCCCTACTTTATTGGAATATTCTGTTTCGAGGCCGGCATTAAGATCATCGCTTTGGGCTTTGTGTTTCACAAAGGCTCTTACCTACGCAACGGCTGGAACGTAATGGACTTTGTGGTTGTTCTGACAGGGTGAGTCCACAGCTGGGGAGGCAGAAACAGTTTCAAATGGATGTATATGTGTGTGTTCTATGTCTTCAGGAAAGTAAGGGATCGGCTTTGTTTCTTTGTGAAAGTGCCTGTTACAAAGTGTTCTAGTCTGGTCCCCTTCTGTATCTGTGTGAACATTGCCCTCTGGCCGATCTTGTACTCCTAAAAAAAAGTTGAGAGTTTTCAGATATTGGACCTCTTTAGCACTATTTGAACAGGATTCCTTTTCCAAATGATGTTTGAGTTACAGTTATTGAAAGAGCATGCCTCAGATTTCATATGCTGATTGCAATCGTCTGTAATTTTTTAGGTAGGAATAGGAGTGTCTGTTTGGGTGTGGGTATTATGGAAGGTCATCCTGAAACCCACCGAAGTAAACATTAAATATATATGTGAGACAATTAAGGGAAGGAATTTATTATCTTTACATCAGATGAGTTGCCAGCAGTATTTTAACTGTTATTTTACCTAGAATGTTAGCAAAGAGGTCTAAATCTATAATGAAGGCGCAGCAGGAAGCACAAGAAGAAATTTTGGATTTAGTTACGGTATTTGACAAAGGTCAAAATAAATTAGGGGAGACACTGTGAAAAATTTGCTGCTCTCACAGACATTCCTATCTGGACAGGATTAGATTTCTCAAAGGGACCCTCGGCTGAAAAACAGGTAATTTGGTTTGTAATTTTTACAGAGGTTGTGTGACAGGATTACAATGAAGTTGGTCTGTGAAACACAAATTTATCTGACCTGTTCAGGGAAAGCTATTCCTGTCCGAATAGGGTTTTTGCAGTTGAGGAACGTCTAAAATTTCCTATTATTGCAGAATTACAGAGTTCTGGGGCAGTTTTTCAAATCAGCAATGATTTCTAGTACAGGTGAACTTAACTGCTTTTATCCTTTTCTCCCACTGGTGAAACAGAGAAACCTCTATTTTTTCTTTTGTTTTAGACCATTGTCTACATGTCCAAATTCATTGTTGAAACATTTATAAAGAAAGGAACTGACTAAAGTACACTTAATTGTTATAAAGTACACTACTGTTTCAAAGATGTGAATTAATACAATTGTATTTTTTTTAGTTCTATTACAAGACTATATCACGGTTTCCACAAAAATATCAAGCAGCACAACTGTAATTAACATTGATAATAATAATAATAAATGTTTCTTGAGCACTAAATCAGCATATTAGAATGATTTTTGAAGGATCATGTGACACTGAAGACTAGAGTAATGGCTGCTATGAATTCATAGTTATTACCGTTTATGATGTTGAAAGTAATACTGCATTCAATAATAAGTTTAATGCAGGTTTGGGTTAATTTCTGTTTTGTATAAAAGCTCAATGCTAATAGCACTAGGCACATAGCGCTGAGTTTTGTGAATAAGGTGCAAGCTATAATGAGTCCAAATTTATATGCAGTATTTGTGCTATATCAGCACATTTAATGTCTAAGCTGGATTGCGATTGGTTAGTGAATAAAATGCAGGGGATTTTTGTGCTGAGATGCAGCAAGAAAAAGTTGCTCAGTCTTACTTGCTCACTGACCATTCAGTTTTTAACTGGTAAAATATTCATGGTTCAGTGTTTCTAGGCGTTTCAGGAGGCGAGAGGGTTAATAGTAATAGACTATCAGTAATATAGGCATATCTGACCTGTTCAGGGAAAGCTATTCCTGTCCGAATAGGGTTTTTGCAGTTGAGGAACGTCTAAAATTTCCTATTATTGCAGAATTACAGAGTTCTGGGGCAGTTTTTCAAATCAGCAATGATTTCTAGTACAGGTGAACTTAACTGCTTTTATCCTTTTCTCCCACTGGTGAAACAGAGAAACCTCTATTTTTTCTTTTGTTTTAGACCATTGTCTACATGTCCAAATTCATTGTTGAAACATTTATAAAGAAAGGAACTGACTAAAGTACACTTAATTGTTATAAAGTACACTACTGTTTCAAAGATGTGAATTAATACAATTGTATTTTTTTTAGTTCTATTACAAGACTATATCACGGTTTCCACAAAAATATCAAGCAGCACAACTGTAATTAACATTGATAATAATAATAATAAATGTTTCTTGAGCACTAAATCAGCATATTAGAATGATTTTTGAAGGATCATGTGACACTGAAGACTAGAGTAATGGCTGCTATGAATTCATAGTTATTACCGTTTATGATGTTGAAAGTAATACTGCATTCAATAATAAGTTTAATGCAGGTTTGGGTTAATTTCTGTTTTGTATAAAAGCTCAATGCTAATAGCACTAGGCACATAGCGCTGAGTTTTGTGAATAAGGTGCAAGCTATAATGAGTCCAAATTTATATGCAGTATTTGTGCTATATCAGCACATTTAATGTCTAAGCTGGATTGCGATTGGTTAGTGAATAAAATGCAGGGGATTTTTGTGCTGAGATGCAGCAAGAAAAAGTTGCTCAGTCTTACTTGCTCACTGACCATTCAGTTTTTAACTGGTAAAATATTCATGGTTCAGTGTTTCTAGGCGTTTCAGGAGGCGAGAGGGTTAATAGTAATAGACTATCAGTAATATAGGCACAAATCAGTAATATAGGCACACATTTAAATGTGGCAAATTAATTTCACAGAGACAATTTGCAGTTCTCATCTCACACATGTAATAAACAATGACTGACACTATGTAAAAATGTATATATCATCATTTTTACATGTAAGCTGCTCTCAGATTGTGAATATTTTACCCAAAATAGAATTAATTGCCTTCATGATGTTACAGTTTCTAATGATATTTGTGCAAGGAAAACACAAAAAATATATTCTTTATGCAAGAAAATTGAACTATGCCTTTAAAAGGGACCAGGCTTTGCTGGCTGATCTGCAACTGTAGTGCAATTGCATTGTTTATCTCCAGGTGTCTGAACTCCCAACACCTGCTCTTTATATTTTGGTCCATTTCAGTCCACAGTTTATGTTTGTCAGACTTGTAATTACACTTTCAGAGACTATGGATTTATGGAGCAGATAATGGTGATTCTGAAAATGGTCCTGACAGATAAATCAAAGATGGGCAGGGATTAAAAGCAGATGGAGTTAGAGGGGTATGACATACTGTGATCATTTTAAAAGAAGGAAGAAAAAGAGAGAGACAGAATAGAATGGATATAGATAGGTTTTAGTGATATGCATTGTAAACCTTATCAGACTGACTCATGAATGTTAATTAGGTGTTCATCCAGTAGTCATAACTGATTGCTGAAAGGCAGGTTAACTGGACCCTAGACAAATTAGGATTACCACTAAGGGTGCACGATTAGGGTAAAAAAAAAAAGGGCTCATGCACAGACATTCATTTTCACAAAGTGGTTTATTGCCGTTTATGCATTAGTGAATCAAGCCAGTGACTAAACGACCACATGCAATGCTCATTTATTATGCAAAGATGTTAGCCAATCATAGCAGTGGGAGTTTACATTGAAATCTCAAAGCAGACATCCAATAGAGTCCAATAGAGTGTTCAAATTAGAGGGCTAATTTCAGGGTAGGAGGACCATTTATTTCTAAATTATAGCCATTTTTGACGAAACAAACATACTAAGATTATAAGTGCACCTCTGGAAACATAAAATAATAATAAAAAAATGCATTTCAAGACCCATTTGAAGCATCTCATTAGAAGTATGGGAAGATAATTGACGCATGTTGCATTTCCAAAAGCACATTAAAGTGGCTCAAACTCAGAGCAGATGCAGAGATGGAGTTTGTGTGGAGCAGCATTTACTTCAAATACAGCTAGATAATGAGAAAGAACACAGTGAGCTTTACTCTAAAACACACACCACAAATATTTATTTTATTAAACTGCAGCCTTTGTGAATTTGGTTTTATTTCGATTAAGCGTGCAGCCCTGTCACTTACCCTTTTTTGGCATGTTTGAATATGCAGGTATTATAAACAGTTGGCCCATGCTGTCCTCAGGCAACCCGGTTAGGCCTTGAGACAATGGCATGCTCTGTTCTTTTATATTTTTCTCTGTGATCGTCCACATCTGCTGCCCACTGCTCCTCTGATCCGATTCCTGCGAGACACTTGAGATTTCACTCCCCGTTTTACATGCATGCATCATAATGGCTCCAACACTATCAGCTGTAAAGCCACGTTCACATAGAAAGTGATTTTTATTTGCTGGAAGCCACTTTATTGTTTGTTGTTAGTAGGCGTTTGTGCCGCAAAATGCCCTAATGCTATTGATCTGTCTATAATCTAAAAACAAATGAGATATTATGGATGTACACTCTTGGAAAAATAAAAACTATTTTGGGGTTCCCCAAAAAACCTTTCTGGACAATCTCTATAATGTGAAGAACATTTAATGATCTAAAGAACCTTTTTCCACTATAACAAACCTTTTGTCCTTTCATCTTTTCGACTTTCCTCTATCAGGCTATCTTCATCTCATTGTCTTTGCACATGCAGTGAAGGTAGTTCTGGTCACTTGAACTTTATCTGCTCATTAATTTAAAGATATATTGGCTGTTTAGCTCCTAGTGGAAACACAGTCATCATCGTAAGGATGATATTTTTAATGGGCGACATACAGAGCCATGAGATGCTGCTTTGGCAGATGTGATGGAGAGGACATCACAGTAAGGGGCTGTAAGAAGCTTTCAAAAAAGAGACATTTTCTGAGCTTAATTAAAAATGAGAAGTGGAAAGAATGCAGCCACCAGGTTGTAGACAAAAATGGACAGAAACTGATATTGAAAGGCCACGTCTGTCAATTTCTCTACAACTGACATACAATTCTAATTGTATGTATAATTGATTCTAATTTCCATTTGGGTGCTTTCGTGTTCCGGTCTCCATAGAAATCCATGTTAAAACGGGGTAAAAAGATCGACCGAGTTAATTAAACTGAAACTTTTTCAGTATAACTAAATATAAAAATGTGCTCAGGGTTAAGCTGTGCTGTTGTCTGCTGCCACAGTAACAGCAATAAGCTTAA